AACTCCCAGAATTCCCCAGCCAGCATTCGCTGGCTGGGGAATTCTGGGAGTTGAAGTCCGGACATCTTCAAGTCGCCAAGGTTGAGAAACACTGGTCAAGAAACTTGATCACTTTAAAAGGGGATGGTTGATGCAATTTAGGGGATTGGAGTTATTGTGCTGGAGGTCTTTTTTTAAAAGTGAAAAATAAACTGCACAAAAGTTAATTTTCTCCCTGTTCTTGAATGCCTAGGAATTCCGCCTGGTCCCTTATATGGGAAATTGAAAGAAGGCGTTCCGATTACTTTGGAAAACGGGACAACCGTTTCTCTGATGGATGTCTTAGAAAGTCCTTTTCCCGGAAGAAAAATTTGTGTCTTGGGGGATTGTTCGGGTGTGGTTGGGGACGGGGTGACGTCGCTTTGCTCTGAAGCCGATATCCTGATTCACGAAGCCACCCTGGATGACAGCCAGATGGAGAAAGCCAGAGAGCGTGGCCACAGCACGCCGAAAATGGCCGCCGAGTTTGCTAAGCTGTGCAAAGCCAGGAAATTGGTCCTGTCTCATTTTAGCCAAAGATATAAGCCCGCAAATCAGAGAGGGGAAGGAGACGCAGACGTTACAGAGCTGAAAAAGCAAGCCGAGATGGTTATGAACGGAGAAGAAGTGGTGCTGGCTGAGGATTTCATGACAATTAGTGTCCCAGTTAAAAAAACACAGTAGGAGGGCTGGGCAACAAGACAGAAATTAATTGGCGGGTGTGCAAAAAACTTTCCCACTGTGACTTGTCTTCCAGGTGATCCTCTTGGAAGGGACCGAAGGAAGTCAGGTTTGAATTAGGATGGGCCTCTTTGTATGAACATCTGTTCTTTATTGCGTCCAATATTCCCGATGCATTTGTAATGTTGACACGGATTAAATGTGCTTTGCATGCTAGGCCTCTCGCTGCAAGGGGAAAGCCTTCCTTGTGAGGCAAACTCTCTTGTGTGTTTCAGCTACGTGGAATCGAGGGCGTCACGAAAGAAGGCTGCAGTTTTTTTTAAACGCTTAGGAATACTGGTAGTCCTCGATTTATGACCACAATAGAGAAATTACAATTTTCCGTTGTTAAGTGAAACATGTGTTAAGTGAGTTTTGCCCCATTGTACGATCTTTCCTGCCNAATGATTCTTTGTTTTGTTTTTCCTTTTGAATGTCTTACTTGAATTTCTTTTTGACAATATTTTGATTAAATATCTGATTAAAAATCCAAATAATGGGCAAAAGAGAAATGCATCAGGTTTATTTTCTTGTAGTTGGATTTGGCTTCCATCTAATGATAAATTCTATAGTCTGAAATGTTACTTTTTAATCCCTTAATTCATGCCTATATATGTATTCTTTTTCTGAGAGTCTTGCTCCTTGATAGAGAGGAAGTTGCCATTGGAAATACAAATATATTATATATCTACAATGATTTAGTGAGAACATGTGTCCCCTTTGGATGTTCATGGACTCCAATTCCTGTGAGTCCCCAGCAACATGGCCAGGGGTCAAGGTTGGAATTCTTATTGTGCAATACTTGATAGGCCACAGATTTCTTATTCCCTCTTTAAAAAACCACTTCAGAGCAGTCTTTACACTATTTTACTGCCTACAGAGATAAAGACTTTTGATATAGTATCCTTTCATTAGTTTCTTCCTTGTTATGGCACATGTTTTTCAGGCCTTTGGCTTGTTAACTAGGCTTTTCCTTATTGTAATGGTGTTATTACAGTTCTTGTAAATTGTTTGGTGTCTTACCAAGTGTAAAATAGGATAGAATTTCTATACTAATTAAATAAAGTTCATTTTTTTAAAACTGTAGAACAGGATAGTTCTACAGTTAATTTTTTCAAGCGGCCAAATGAGAAACTGGAACTCTTTGAAGGGCTGAAGGTAGAATAGAAGGTACACATGCATACTTTGGGGGGAAAAATAGTAGCCATCCTCAGAACAAAAGCAATGAAATCTTATTGTGTGCATAGTGTACTGTTAATTGCATTTGATATCTAATTGCCAATTGACCTCACGGGCTGAACAGGGACAGCCAAAGAGCTGGATCTGGACTGGTCTGGTGTAGAAGAACATTTTTATACCTGAAAAGAGGAAGGACATAATCAGACAGATTGAGATGCTGAACCAGTGAGCATTTCCTTCTGTTGTATGGAAGTTTTGAAGAATAATTTTATTAGTAGGAATAATGGCATGCAAACGCTTTATGGTTCTACAATGGGAAAAAAAGGGATTTATTAGTTGAAATTAGTAGGGGGTGGTGCGAATTCTATTTTCTGGAAGTCTGATTGTATTGAAACAAATTTAAATCACCAATACTAATGATAATTTAAATCTTGTATATGTCTAGATGTAATCATGTGATGTAATGATGTGTTTTATTTCCTTTCCCTACAAAACAATCATATTTTTAACTACTAATGTATAATATATGTTTGAAAAAATAATGTTTATCATAGTTTGTCACACAATTTATAGAATATGGGTAGAAAATGGTCAGTCTACCCATCTATATACCCATCTGGCCTGTTGAGGCTTCTCCATTTCTCTTGTAATATATTATTAGCCAGGTAAGAAATGGAGATGAGCACCACTCCTTAGATTGGAAAGGGAAAGCCGTTAGTGTTCCTTTTTTTGCCATGCACTCCTTCAGATTGTTCCACCCAGCTTTACTAAAAAGCTAATAAAACTTAACCTTGCAATTCATCTAAACAGTATTTTTGACATCAGAATTCTAGAATTGGTTTTCCATTGCCTCCCTGGCTTCCTCCTTTTTTTTACTTCTCCAACTACCGGTAGCTAACATCTGGAATTCCAGGATGCCTCTGAATCCCACTACCAAATAGGCTTAATTTTGCTTAGCTTCCAAGATTAGCCAAAGTCCAGCTAGGTGCTGCAGCAGTTAATTTTCTATTGTTTCCAATGAAAAAATAACTTTACAAGACGAAAAATGGATTTGGGGAAAGAAAAGTTAAATGGGCTTTTGCACTGATTTTTTTTTAAGGATAGGGCCGGACAAATTGGTGTGAGCAACCATTATTTAAGAAAAAGTTTCCTTTAGAGAAATGTTCACCATCTCTACACAAAAGTGCTTTTATCTGGCTTCTTTTACTACAATGCGTATGATTATAATCTTACATGATTCTCCTGGGTAATAAACTTCATTAAATTCAGTAGTATTTATTTGAAAATTTGCACACTTAGAATTGAGTGAATTGATCCATTGCTCTTTTGTCAACATACTAAATGAAACATAGACACAAACATGATTTTGATTTTATAAAGTGTTGCCTTGTGATAGTTAGAGACAACTCTTATAACATACAACCTGACAAGTAGTTATGTTCATACCTTGGTTGATTTGAGTTTGATTTATTATTCCAATGTATAGTATATGACACTGGTGACAATACACCAATGCATTATTTAAACGCATTTCTATTTTATTTGCATTTCTAAAGATTTTTCCTTTGGAAAGTATTTTATGTTTGCTTTCTTTTGCTTGCTACTATTTTTGAATGTGGTTCATAACTGCATTTACTCTACTGTTCATTACCTCAGAACATTTATAAGAAAGGAGCATATAAATCCTAATTTGTTATGAAAATACAGGTATTTATAGATGAATTCAAAAGGAATGTTTGTAAGTAATGAACATCATTTTCAATGATGATTTAATATTAGTTTCCTTAACAAAACATAATAAACACATCTTTTTTCTGTTTTTCTAACTACCAGAGTTTTAATGAATTAATTTGAACTAAAACCCCTTTTTCTATTTCTCCAATGGCCACTAGACGCTGCTAATGTTGTTATCAAATGCTAGGGAATTATTTTCAAAGCCTCTAATTGAGAAATAATGGAATAGCTTCCATTTGCCCAATGGTACAGTTTTCCTAAGCATATTATCACCATGCATACTTCCAAAATGATTCTCCATCAGACCTCAAATGTCAGTGATGGTGATTACTGAACACATGCCACATGTTCTGCTTAGTAGTTACAGTAGTGTGCTATTGGCAAGAAAAATGCATAGATATTAGCACTTGGTTCCATTAAATTGATTTTAAAGATTCTGTTTTGTCACTTAATATTTATTCAGTCTTCAGCCTAATTTTTTAGCATATGTTGTTATTTTTTGCAGAGTTGAAAATCTCAAGATTGGCTTTAATTGATGGGATCATGCAATCTTAACTGCTCTCCTGAAACTGAGAAGGGTGTGGGTGTGTAAATATGAGATTTCTGTGGGGAGTTCCAAAATGTGGGAGTGGTATTTGAAAATGCCTGTTTTATAAATGGCATTCTCATAGTAACAGAATCTGGAGGATTACAGAAGAAGGTGGCCCTTCAGAAAGCTGGTCTAGAGTTTGAAAAAGTGTAAAGGTTTTCCTTGCTCAGTATGACCAACTTTGGGGAAGGGTAGTGCTCATCTCTGATTCTTAGCTGAAGGAATGTGTTATCCAGAGGCTTCTATCATCATATGGCTAGCATGAAAAGTGGTACCTATTTATCTACTGGCATTTGCATGCTTTTGAATTGCCAGGTTGGCAGGAACTGGGGCAAGTAATGGGAACTTGCCCAGTGGTGGGTTGCTACCAGTTCGCACCAGTTCGGGCGAACTGGTAGTGACANGACAGCTTTAAGACTTGCACACTTCAATGCCAGAGTTCCTGAGCCAACATTTTGGTTGCTAAGCAAGAGCGTTGTTAAGTGAGTTTCACCACATTAGGCCACACCCACCCAGTCACATGGCCGGCAAGCCACTCCCACCCACTTACATGGCCAGCAAGCTACTCCCACCCAGTCACATGGCCAGCAAGCCACTCCCACCCGGTCACATGGCCGGCAAGCCACTCCCACAAAGCAGGCCACACCTACAGAATATGTTCTAAAAATTTTTGAAACCCACCATTGATTCAGATACATGGAGTATATTATCAGTACACATACTGTATCTGTAATTAAAACCACCTCACGTAATAGATCAGTACAGGGAATCCTCATTTAGTGACCACAATTGGTACTGGCAACTTGGTTGTTAAGTGAAACAATTGCTAAGTGAAACCATGACGGTGCTTATAATCTGATTCCAGTTTTCCTTTGCTTTAGGGACCTGCAAAAGTTGTATTCGTGAGAGTTGGTCATAGTTACTTTTTCATCGCTGTGGTGACTGCAAATAGTTGCTAAATGAGGCAGTCGCTAAATGTGGACTACCCGTATTATTCTACTCTGGGTAAAATTGAAAGATTTTCAGTTCTGTTTCTGTATCCCCAGCTCAACTAGACCGAAATTCTGCAGCACTTCTGGTGATATCACCCGCGTGACTATGACACATAGTTTGGTGACTAATAGCTTTCCGAGCAGATGAAATGTACAATTTGTACTTGAAATTATTTTCTCTTCTCCCCGCCGCAAAAAAATTACTAAAATGTTCAAAAAGGGATACTAGGAGGAAGAGAAAAGGTTGTGGGTGAGGTGGCAAGTGAAAGTCGATGCAATTCTGAGATGGGCGGCATATAAATGTAATAATAAATAGAATAAGAAATTAGAGAGAAAAATGGTTTAGATTTCGGGTGCACTGTTTCAAACACAACCATTCATAAGGTCTAGAACAGTGCTTCTCAACCTTCACAACTTGAAGATGTCTGGACTTCAACTCCCAGAATTCCCCAGCCAGCATTCGCTGGCTGGGGAATTCTGGGAGTTGAAGTCCGGACATCTTCAAGTTGTGAAGGTTGAGAAGCACTGTTCTAGACCTTATGAATGGTTGTGTTTGAAACAGTGCACCCGAAATCTAAACCATTTTTCTCTCTAATTTCTTATTC